AATATGTCTTGGCACGATCATGTCGCTGGAATTGCCAAGGCTACTTCTCAAAAGCTTGGAACACTTTCCGAACCAGAAATCTATACACACCTCAGCACTTTTGATGCTTCATAAAGCTCAGATCAGACCTTCTTTGGAGTATTGTTCTCATGCATGGAGCTCCGCCCTAAAGTATACCCTGAAGCAGTTGAAGCCAGAAAGGAGCCATCCACCTGAATGGAGGCGCGAACAGCACTTGCAACCTGGAATATCGAAGAAAGGTTGGGGATTTGTCTCTCTTCTATAGATACTTACCGGAAGTGTTCAAGTTACTTGGTACACCAAGAGCAGTACATATCATAAATAAGCGACGAAATATGGCTGCTCATCGTTTTCAGGTTCAACTCAGTATATCTTGAACTTCACTGTTCAAGAATTCTTTCATTTGGAAAAATACGTTTATGTGGAATAAACTTCCTGAGAACGTTTTTCCACATGAACTTGATCTCCAGCGATTCAAATCCAACGTAAATTGCTACTCACGCACAGGCACCGCTCTTAGAGCCTTAAGCAGTTTCCTGTAGTGCTTGTGTTTTGTCCTTAAAAAAAAGAGGCATTGAGCGCTCAGAAAGTGACTGCTTGACGATGGAAGTTAAATTTCAATCTGAAAACAACAGCCCAAACACCGGACCGCACTCTTTCGACCCGCCATAGATCTCATCATTCATCCAGAGAGTACGAATCTCGTTGGCTATCAATTTCGAAGCTTGGCTTTGCAACTGACCGCCTTGTGGAGGCTATTTGTTATTGAAAGATTGAGTTCTCTGTCGATCCTATAGATGGCGTCTTCGTGAGGGGATATGTCATCGCCCTTACTTGCATTTTAATGTTTTCATTAGGAAATACATTTTTAGTAGAAAATAAGTGTACGTTATTTTTTTTTATTCGTGAGTGTTCGCAATCTTCATTAACAAAATTAATTTTTCCTTGTACTCAAAACTTTAAATACAATTGCATTACAGAATTCGCTCGGCTGATAAAAGTCAATAATGCCAACTACCTCTTAAGGAAGTTAAACATAAATCAACTGATTTTATAAAATTGTATCTACTTATTTTGTTAGTTTTCACAATTAGCATTTTTTAGGACAAAAACCAAGCTTTGATATCGGACATCGAATTAGAATTCACTCGTTATTATTTCTCTGAAGTTCTGCAATCTTTACTGTAAGTAGGCCACTACATATTTTCTGTTCATCACATAGAAAGCGTTTTCAAAACAGAAAATAAACAAAATAGTGAAAGAGTTATTTAGGCTTCCAGTTCAAAAAATTCAATATTGATATTCAAGGGTATTCCTACTGCTCCTTAATGTCATGTGAAAATTTAAAGGAATGATTCTATGGATGGATCTGAAAATCCCTATCCTAAAAGGCTTCGTTTATGAAATACCAAGGCTATACAGCTTTAATATTTTTTCAGATTTTATTATACTCTTCATATATTACTGATGGTATCAAGTTCAAACTTGGCGCACATACCTTCTTTCATCAACGTCCACGAAACCGCTATGAAAATTTATCGAATTTTCTATAGTGTTTTCTACACACCCTGACTCTTTCGCAGCTTTTCTTTGGAACGTCACGGGCTACTTTCCCTAAAAACAGGTTGCTCATTCTATGTTAAAAAATTTTTGGCTCTTGCTCGATTTCAAAGTTTTACACCGTTCAAGAAATATTTGGGTAATATCTCAAATACTTAAAAACCATTATGTACTTGTGATGCACTGTTTGGAACCTGTGGTGTAATAATGAATATTACTGGAGTTCCATCCCAACACCAAACCGTTATTTTAACATATCGACACGTGTTTCCATCACCAAGTGATCATCTTCATGACGAAGATTAAACTCAGAAAAAAACTCCAGTAATATTCACTTAAAAACCAAAGAGAACATATTTTAGTCTCCATCATATCGACAAAATAATACAATTATCTCAATTTTTACTGAAGAAAGCAAAGAAAGTATTTGATTTGCATTGAATTGAAAGTGGTAAAATTACCATTCTTCCATTCACATTATATCAAGATTATTATTTGTGGATTTGTGGTAAATAATAACAGTATTATTATTATTAACATGATGGTCTTGTTGTGGTCATGAAAATCTACAAAATAACATTTGTTGTGCTTTTTTTGGCAAGCATCCCAAATCAGTGCGTCAAATTCTTCACGTACTTCGTCTATTCTTTGATAATTTTAAATGAAATAGTAGAGTATTATTTTCATGAAATATTCCAATTTACACAAACTCAGAAACCCTTTGATGGGGGAAAATTATTTATATTTTTCGATCAATATGTACGATACTTGGTTGGCATGATTTTTTGTAATTCTACGGATTATGAAAAATATCATTCTTTAAAAATATAAGCACAGAATCTGCTCTGTGTGATTTTCAAAAATGTCTTGTAGTCAATCTTGATAGGGGAAAATATGATCTTAATCTTTTTGACTTCTCAAGAGATTTCGACGTAGTCAATCATAGGCTTTTATGTAGTAAGTTAGAATCGTGTGGAGTTAGGAGAATACCGCTTAAATTTTTTCGAATCATATTTAAATGGCAGATTGTTAGACTGAATGAAGTTCTGAGTAGTTACCGTGAAATAAATCAAGGTGTACCTCAAGGATCTGTATTGGGACCTTCATTGTTTAATATATTTGTGAATGATATAATCAGTCTAATGGAATGAAACCAAATTACTAATTTTTGAAAAAAGCATAGACATGCTATTGAGTATGAAGATTTCATTCGGTGGTCTGAAAAGAATTATCTGTTGCTGAATCACAACAAAACAGTCACAGTACTTTTTGGGAGCTCCAAACAAAGATCACCTGTGTTATTAAAAAATAACGTAAAACAAATAACTTGTAGTGATGAGGTGAAACTTTTGGGAGTAATTTTCGACAAACATCTGCAATGGGCAAGTCATGAAGAACTATTGTCTAATAAGCTGAGAAGTAGTTGCTACATCATAAAGTATATGAAATACCACTGCAGCAAAAATGTCTTGCCTACGCTGTACTTTACAAATTTCCACTCTCACATGAAGTATGGTATACTGAATTGGGAAAACAGTGCCGGTATGAATCGGATCTTCATTCTTCAAAAATACGCAATTAGAATTATGTAAAGAATTGATATGAGAACCAGTTGTCGTCAATACTATTTAATAAATATCAGAAGTCGCATTTATCAGCTGAAACTTTCAAGATTGAGAAATCTCATAAGAAAGTACTATTCAATAGAAAGTATTAATTGTATTTTCACAATGTACCAGTTCCCAGGCCCAGTTCTTTTTATTTTGTACATAAATGAAATCGCAAATTCCTTTCCGGATATTGAGATGACTATTTATGCAGACGACACTCATCTACTGATTTCCAACAAAAATCAAATAGAACTAAAAGAAACCTGTGAAACTGCTCTATGCCAACTAACTTCTTGGATCAATCAAATCACTCTTTATTTTAATGTAGACAAAACTAACCTTGTGAAATTCCATAGTCATCAGAGGGAATTGGTAGATGTAGATATAATTTTAAATAATACACCTCTGCCTATGAATAACAGCTGTAAATTCTTAGGACTATTCGTTGACTCACATTTAGATTGGAAAGAACATTGCAAGCTCCTGATTTTCAAACTTTCATCCCTCCACTATATGTTCAGAAATCTCAAAGTTATTTTGACACAGCAACAATTGATAAACTTATACTACGCACAAGTGGATTGTCGACTGAGGTATGGTATTTGCCTATGGGGAGACTCTACACTGTCGAATAACGTCCTCGTATCACAGAAAAATGTCATTAGGTGTATTGCTGTATTGCTGGTGTGAAAAAAGACTATTCTTGTCGAGAAATCTTCAAAAGATTCCAAATTCTGATCTGTACAGCCTCTACATATTTGAAATCTGTATTTATGTGTTCAAAAATAGGTATTTGTTTTTCATAAATGAAGATTTCCACGAATACAACACACGTCGTAAGGATGATTTACGAATTTACTATTACCACTCTCTAAACGCAATATTTCCTATAAAGCTCCAGCTCGAATCGGCGCAAAGATTTTCAACAGCTTACCTCTTCCTCTATCAAAAGCCTAAAACATGAACGTACTTTCAAAATAAACCTCAAAGGATACCTGGTTGGGAAAGGTCTATACTCTTTAAATGAATACTTTTAATTTGAACTTTTATTTGATGTAAATCTGTTTTTTTATGTAAGTCAATATTCTGTGTACTATGTATAAGCATATTTATTATGTAAACATGTTTTTTGTAGTGTTATATAATCTTTAATGTTCTGTTATTTTCCTTCTTCATTTAAATCCCGACCGTACTACCATGCGGTCGTAACCATGATACAACTGTATGTTGTCTTGAAGAAATAAAGTGATTTGATTTGATTTTTGAACCGCGATACAACTTTTTCATGGCATAACTCCAAAGAACAATAGTGTTGTGTTTTGACAGATATTTCGAATTATCAGTTTGATCCTAAATGTTGAAATCAGTAGGTACTCGACAGGGATTAAAGTGAATTATTGTTAGACCGTTGTTGTTAGATCGTTGCAAACAACGGCGCATTATATTTACCTACAAAAATAGGCGTTGGTTTTAACAATAAATAATCAACTGCTGGTTTTATTATTGAGTATTACATCCTCATTTTGTATATCTTTGAAAACACTATAGAACTCAATTCATTACCTCCGACATAATATGAATCAAAATAAAATTCAAGAGGAGTTCACTTTCTAGTTCAACAAAAAACCCGTCTAATACCTCCTGAAAAATGGCAGTTGTCAAAAATATAACTTGTAAACCAATCAAAATGAAGCAATCTGCATCCGTTTTCTAAAAATTATTCTGTGAAGGCATGTCTTTTGAAGGATTTTTTTTAATTTCTGGCATCAGTTTTTCAGAATAATTCTCATTGGATGATATTATTTTCAGCCGTTCAACATGAAAGAGGTCCCAGAAAACCAAAACTCCAACAAAACCCCTCCCCTCAGATCCACCATTCCCCGTCGCTTTCGCATAACCTCCAACACATACCTCCAGCGGGGGAGAGCAAATTATCAAGCGGGTCCGTTTCTTTCCACTTCAACCCAGGTTTGTTCACTCCCACCCACCATCCTCTCAAAGCTTTGTCTTTACCTCCCCCGCCCGTTTCAAGTCCTTCAAGTCATATGGATGCCCTACACCTACCAATGTTTCACCACCCCACATTGCCACCTCCACCTGGACTTCTGCATATTCTCATGTCAGCAGAGAAATGTCAGGTGAGTTTGCTTGTAGATGATCAGGTAACAGAAAAAATATTAGTCATATCGTGCACTTCCACCACATTCACCGATTAGCATTTTACCACCTTAGTGAAGGTTGCTAAAAACTTCGAAGAAATAAGTATCGATTTTTTTTTTGAAAGACTGTCACCACATCTATACAGTGTTAGTATAAAAAATAACATACACTGCTCTCCTATCAATTGCAGGTGCTATTTTTAGGGCAACCGATGAAGGTGAACTGAGCTGTCTGATTTTGCTAGACTACAAAATGCGTTTGACAACTTAAATTACGGTATACTTCGCAAATATTGTCGCTTTTGGGTTATCTGATGATCTTTAGTATTAGATTACTTATTTAACTGAGAAATGTCAAAGAGGCAGTAGAGGTGTCAAGTAAAGCTCTATTTTGTACATATATACATATCGGACTCATCCATATAGAATAATGACTTGCAATTATATTTTTCATTTGATTGTCATAGTGCTCTAACAGAGTTGATGCAATTCGTTTGTGGCGCATACAAAATTAATATTTGAAGCTAAAAAGAACTCTGGATGGACTACAAACCCTTAGTGCTGTCGAAAAAATAATATTTACCCATCCTGACTATTCGAAAATCTTTTTCGAAAACGTTCTCTAATATGAACAGTTTTAGTCATTCCAAAACATCGAACTGTCATTTAGATTCAATATTTTTCCAACAACCTAGCGAGTGGATTCAGGACTTATACTCTCTTGAACCTCAGAAAAGATTAAAACAACATTTCATTATCAATTATTATTATTGTTATTTTTTATATTTATCAGGTTTTCTATAACTACGTACTTTAATATCAATTTGAGCGTTATAATAGGTTCTGTGAGAGTTTGATGTTAACCTTAGCACCACTTCCATTAACTCCAACCTGGGAAATGCTACAGGTAAGAAAATTTTTCAAGTAATATTGAAACATCATCTGCATCCGTGATACAGAACTTTTTCCAAATGTCTCAATTTCGAATTGTAGCCTTCAATTTCGAACAAGCACAGAACAAATCATCATCATCTACTTAGCTAATGCAGTTCTCATGGTTGGAAGCAAGCAGCTTACTCTGGAGTGATTTGTTTCCATCCTCATTAATAAAAATTTGTCGATTTCAACGTATAAAGTATCAATTCCGAATATAATTGATAGAAGGGTGTCGTTGATTGTTATTCTTGTTCAATAAATTTAACAACTAGGTTATCTAAGTGATTTCACTGAGACTATCGATAAGAAATTACACAAAGTTCATTTCCTGTTAAACAAAAAATCCGTGCTTTCTTAGATTTCACATATTGCGCCAGCTCATCTTTTTGTTCTGTTATATATCAACTCAGGTACTAACATGTCTGCAAATCAGTTTTTGAACCAAAAACCGCATAAAAACACTCGTGAAGTCAATTTTTTTCCAACGATCCAAAAACGCGTTCACTCAAATCGAACGCACAGTGAGTGCATATGGTGCCATCGCCGGTCCGATCACGATTACTATTCAAGCATGTCCTGCTCCGAACTTAATTTTGCCCCGGTCTCACCTAGATGGTTTTTAATGTTTCGTGCATTCAGTAGTTCAAAGAATTGGTTGTTGTTCCATTCGAAATCTTGACAATCAAGTTTTCTGATTTTGGCAAGAATAGCTGATTTAATTTGGCTTAGGTACCTAGATAAACTGAAACCAAGAACATTTTCTCTGGACAAAGTAAAGTTGTTCCAATTGCAGAAACATATTGATGTGAATTCTAGAATAAAATAATTATTGCATACATGCTAACATATATATTACGAAAAATATGGACATATATTCCACATTTTCAGATGAAATCCCCGGCATTTCAGCTTATTCTACCACACATCAACCCTCTATTAACACCCTCCGTCCTTTTGTAATGCGCAAGGAACTTGACTGAAAGAAGGTGTGGTAAAGTTAATATTGACTTGTTGGCATTCGTAGTGACTTTTCAGCTGAAATTGTACTGGCTGAAATGAAGTCGACCCTCTTTACTTGGATACGCCTACTACGACTATAATTTTTGAGGGCTTGTATTTTGAACTTGTATTTTAAACAAGACTTAATATATATTTTTATCATATAATGAGTAATAGGGTTTTGTTGGTGATTTTTGTAGGAGTATCATCCCAGAACAGAATCCTTAGAAAAAATAATAACTTTGGCTAAATCATAATGTTCCACCTAAACATTCAGCCTATGGCTAACAAACAACAAGAGATACTTTTACTAGAGACTGAATTCAATGTTTTTTGTTTATCTGAACACTGACAAACTGAACTCAATTTGAATACATTAAATAAACAACAGTAAAATCATAGTTATCACTATCTACAGATCACCTCTAGACAGCATAGGAAATGTTCTATAAAAAAGAGTCAAATCATCTCAGAACTTCAATTCTATCCTAAAATACAGAATGTTGCATTCGAAATAACTGAGTTTTGGTCCATTGTAATATCTTCAGAATTATTCATCGACTCCGAACACCTTGTATAACATTTTAGAAATGTTACTCTTATAACGCGATGGAATGAAGTATTTTGATGAATCAATAATAGCTCATTTGTGTATTCTATCAAACTTTTGAATTTCGTGGGGGAATCAGTCGTGGGCCGAATACCTATTTTTTTGAGTAGACAAATGAATATCTCGAAAACGGCTCATTTTTGGTATAAGGGTGCATTACATAAACTCAGATTAGGATTATGCCAGGTGTTCAAAAAAGGGTAAATATACGGGGTGTTGCATTAAGGAAGTTGTCATCGACTTTCAGTAGGTATAACTAGAATTGTTGGAAAACAAGTGATATCTCCGTTCTTTGTGAAACTAGAAAAACCAAATAAAGGCGATCTTGAATAATATCAGAATGACCTACTGAAATCATCTTTGAAACCATTGTGAACATTGCAGTTTTTGAGAAACTGTCCCTAACTTTATTTGAAAATAGCACCCCTAACAATTGTATACTTCACTAGAGTCTCCCTGTCATTGAAAATACAGAGAGATGATATTGTCAACAATTGAAATGGTCCAAAGAGTTATTTTCAACCGAATATCTCAAAAAATTTACGAACTCTACAAAATATGTTGAAACCTGAAACTATCAAGCTTCATATCATCGCATGAGTTCCCTAATACATATAGATAAATTTAGAAAAAGTTTTATTTGTAATTCCCACAACTCATCACGAATGATCGACAACAAGGACTATTTAAAGGAATCTACAATGGCAGATTAGAAAGCAACGGGCAGTTACAGCAGATGCGACTTGTGAAGTCTCAATTGGAAAATATTAAAGCGAGACCGAAACATCGAAAAATGATGAGAGTGACAAAAGTTAATTCTATTAGTTCTTATGAAGTGAAAACGTATCAACTGTTAAATATGTTGTGTCAACCCAAATCTCCTGAAGGGACTTTTGATGTACTGACATTATAAGA